CTTCCGTGAGGCTATTTGCTGACTGTAAGACGTTGTAATTCTTATTAACTATATAGAAATATCTTCCTTCGTGCAAAAGGGGCACAGGCGGAAAAGAACGCTAAGGCGCTACAATTCGCCATACCTTACCTAAGATCCTGGGTTTGAATCCCGGTTTGCCCCGATTATGTTTCTAGGCTTGTCAACATGTGGTAAACGTCTAAGACCTGCATCACCTCGGGATTTCCTCCCACATTAAGCTGACACTTTGTGATATAACTGGAATACTGTTGAAAGCAGAAGTCGATCCTCCGAGTCTTGTTATGAAAGTGACATTTTGTTTTGTGTAAGATCTAGTTGTTCTATTTATATAGTGTTGATGATACTGAAATAACTATTGGTTTTCAGGCTTTTTTTAAATGTTTGTATGATATCAATGGTAATAAGCTCTATGATAAGGTGACTGTCATTCAACTTTGCAATAGAATATAGTTATAATGACATAGAGCAGTGTGGACAAACAAGTAACAACAAAAAGAAAGCATTGATTTGTCATACATACCACTGGAGCATTAAATACGCTTCCATATATGTGCCCACTCACCGTCTATCAGATATAACACAACTAAATTCGAGACATTAATGTAATGTAATATGCCAATATTGCCTGGTACATTATGAATACAACCATTAACGGCTGGTGTGTTAGATTTTGGCATAGCATAACACCACTGCAGATGAAAACGTCCAATATAATTTTGACAGGGAGATGGTGACCTCGTGGTACCTTTCGTCATTGTTGGTTCGACAATGGCCGTCTGTGGAGTGTTATGTGTCGTAATGAAGGACACGAAGGACCAGCCTCTGGCAGACACCATGGGGAATCAGTTGAACACACGCGGGGATGTGACGATGGTGGCGATCCATAAGGACATGTGTTGATGGCACAAGGCATCTTGTTGAGGCGTAAAACCAACACTGGAACGTTGCATAATTCAAGGATGGCAAACTTAGGCGAAACCTAATTAATCGAAATCATCTCTTTGCGTGTTATCGTTCTGTGTAAGCAATATTCCTGGACACACTGACTAATAATTCAGCTCTTACAGACCCAACTCACCATTTGCTCCTACAGCTGTGTCTTCTCCTGCTCCTGACCACATTGACTAATCATAACACAGTGTGTCGTCCTGTATGTATGTACAGTGTGTCGTCCTGTATGTATGTACAATGTCGTCCTGTATGTATGTACAGTGTGTCGTCCTGTATGTATGTACAGTGTGTCGTCCTGTATGTATGTACAGTGTGTCGTCCTGTATGCATGTACAGTGTGTCGTCCTGTATGTATGTACATTGTGTCGTCCTGTATGTATGTACAGTGTGTCGTCCTCTATGTATGTACAGTGTGTCGTCCTCTATGTATGTACAGTGTCGTCCTGTATGTATGTACAGTGTATCGTCCTCTATGTATGTACATTGTGTCGTCCTCTATGTATGTACAGTGTGTCGTCCTGTATCCATGTACAGTGTGTCATCCTGTATGTATGTACAGTGTGTCGTCCTATATGTATGTACAGTGTGTTGTCCTGTATGTATGTACATAGTGTGTTGTCCTGTATGTATGTGCAGTGTGTCGTCCTGTATGTATGTACAGTGTGTCGTCCTGTATGTATGTACAGTGTGTCGTCCTGTATGTATGTACACAGTGTGTCTTCCTGTATGTATGTACACAGTGTGTCGTCCCGTATGTATGTACACAGTGTGTCGTCCTGTATGTATGTACACAGTGTGTCGTCATGTATGTATGTACACAGTGTGTCGTCCTGTATGTATGTACACAGTGTGTCGTCCTGTATATATGTACACAGTGTGTCGTCCCGTATGTATGTACACAGTGTATCGTCCTGTATGTATGTACACAGTGTGTCGTCCTGTATGTATGTACACAGTGTGTCGTCTTGTATGTATGTACACAGTGTGTCGTCTTGTATGTATGTACATAGTGTGTCGTCCTGTATGTATGTACACAGTGTGTCGTCTTGTATGTATGTACACAGTGTGTCGTCATGTATGTATATAAAGTGTGTCGTCCTGTGTGTATGTACACAGTGTGTATCCCTGCATGTATGTACACAGTGTGAGGCTTTACATGGGAACTATGCTCGGGCACCTTTAACACTATACACACACACACTTCACATAAATAAAAGCGACATAAGACATTTACATAATCTTAACTCAAAATATGTACTTGTACATGTCCAACATTACATGGGTCAAGATGTATGTCTTTCTCTGTGTACATTATGCAGCCTGTCCCTTGTGAAGTACAAGTTGCGGAGCATATGACTCACGTCGCATTCACCTGGCAAGATTAATGAAAACACCTTTATACGCCCCCAGGGCCTGCCGTGGAGATGTAGCTTCACATCAACTAGGCGATAAAAAGCACAAAGCCACAGTGGTTCACCAGGCTAATTCAAAATGTGTGTTGTTTAAAGCCACACTCAAAAATATCCCTGCAATATGGCAGCCAGTACATAATTGAGTCTGGGCCAGATGATGCAGTGATTGATATCTTGAGCAACCATCCTTGTCGTCGGGACACGATGACAGGCCACCAACCACGTCACCAAGCCTGAACACTCGATCCATTATTTCGCCCTTGACGTTCAGGCATAGGTTGCTGGGTATCAACTCTAACCCGGAATCCCCACTGGGAAAAAAATCAAGGTGAGTTGACTGCTGTGTGTTGTGATTATCCATCATGCAATGAGGGAGTGGGATGGGTCTGGGATTGGTCGGCGAGGTCAGTATTATGGTCGGTCATATGTGCCATATTCTTTGAACATTACTGTACATTACAATCGCATTTATATAACATTGCTATGGTAACAACAATTCATGTACATTATCACTGCATTTATTAAAGCAGTTTCCGAGATGTTGGCCACATATATCTACACAGTGTGAGTCTTTACATGAGAGCAATGTTCGAGCACTCTAAGCAAATTTCAGCTACGTCGTTCAAACACTCTATTTACACAGACACACTTTACATAAATAACGACATAAAACATTTACATAATCATAAGAAATCTTAACTACAAATATGTACTCGTCCAACAATACATGGGTCTATGTGACCTTCTCGCTATGTCTTTGTCTATGTCCATTTTGCAACCTGACACTTGTGAAGTACGAGTTGCGGAGCAAGTACTCACGTCGCGTTCACGCCCTGCGGTCATGCTGTGGAGATGTAGCTTTACATCAAATAGAGCGACAAAATAAAGCGCCAAGGCACTGGGGCTCACCAGGCCAATTCAAACTAAAATATATCCCTGCTTTATGACAGTCGGTACATAATCGAGTCTGGGTCAGATGATGCAGTGATTGTTTTCAACCATCCATGTCGTCGGGACACCAAGTTTGATCACTGGATCTATTATTTCGCCCCTGACGACCAGCATAGGTTGCTGGGGATCCATTCTAAACCGGAATCAGCACTTGGAAAACATTAAGGTCAATTGACTGGTGTGTGTTGCAATTACCCATCATGCAATGAGGGAGCGGGGTGAGTCTGAGATTCGTCTGTGAGGTCAGTATGTTGTCGATGTACTATATTCTTTGAGCATTGCTGAACATTATTATGGTAACAACAATTCATGTACATTTTCACTGCATTTATGAAAGGAATTTCCGAGATGTTGGCCAGATATGAATGTGTGAGTGAGTTGGGTTTAACGCTGCTTTTAACAGTATTCAAGTTATATCGCGGCGTGTCAGCTTAATGTGGGAGGAAAGCCCGAAGTGATGCAGGTCTCAGACGTTTACCAGTTCGGTGAAACCCACGAGCACGGGTATGGTGCTGACAAACCTATAAACATAATCGGGGCGAACCGGGATTCGAACCCACAATCATAGGTTTCTGGCGTGTCCAAGGGACGCAACTCTGCACAGCGAATCGCGGCGCTTTTGACGACTGGGCCACCCGTGCCCCCTGGCCAGATACCAAGTACTAGCACAAAGATAGGTGTTGACGACAAACAAATATAACAATGGAAGCACGTATTGTCTGTAAAACGTAACAGCAAACAGATCCTATAGTTTATACGTGCTTCACGCAGCAGTGCAACACAAGTGTGCAGGGTGCAATTCTTGATTTTGACACTTTTAAGGAAGGTCGATTAATCTCTGTGGACCGTTATTTCCGTCAATGTTATTGATTCTGCTGATCCTACTGTTGTGATTTACTTCATTTCATTCAGTGGTTCTGTATGAACTAGCGATCTGGCGTCTGCAATGCGCGGAGCCGTCTACGAGCTTTAGACGTGCTTGAAACTGACAGAATATATATATAAAATACAAAAGTCCAAAGATGAGCTGTATAATTTACTCAACCGGTTTCACGCATGTGACTTTCAAGAGTACAGTTATACCGTTACGCTGTTTTGACGTCACAGTGAACTCTAACATAGTATGACGTCATTGGGACGGCGTACGACACATACAGAAATAAGTATTGTAGTGCCAGTAAAATGATCTATAAATATAATCAATGTCTGTACAATACATTATGGAAAGGGCCACCTAAGTTCGATAACTTTTGCCCAATCCCGTTGCCAATGAAGTATGTTTAAAACAAACCGACCACTTCCTATTCGGGGTGGGTGGGCTTGGGAATGTCTCATAAAATATAAAATGTCCCAGAAAATGCTGGTAAACAATAACATCATGCTACAAACTGTTGAAAGATGGTTAGATCGCCTGCCACAAATATACATTGTTGCATTGTTTTATTTTGCCCCCTATTTTTTTAATCTAATCTGCATTATAAATCTAAAAATCTCAGCCAAGGGTGGGTGTCCACCCTCGAAAACCATCTCCCCCCCATATGTATATTTCAGCCTAATACGACTTCTAGAAAGGGCAGGACAATCTAAGGATAGAACCGTGTTTACACAACGCACACACTGTTAAATTCAAAGCCATGTACATATATAAAGGACATCTGAGCCCGGGGAGTACACAAGAGAGGAGATCGCTGTTATCATGGCACGCTGACCTTCTCACACACACTGCAGCAGGTCTGACAGCAGGTAGGTGAACGCTAAGAGCGCAGCTATCATCTGATATTGCCGGGTACGTTAAAAGATTTGCGTTAAAATGAGATTGGGTTTTTTGCAAACGTTGAAAGACGGTTGTAAAATAAGCCTTAAGGTATGTATGCCATAGAGACACGAGATTACGATGCATTCTGTTGTCCAACACAAAACCCGGCATTTAGATACAGGTTTTGTAAGGATCGCTTGATCCACTACTTACCTTGCCCCTTCCTACCATCCCCCCCCCCCCCCCCGCCCCTCTAACCCCCGCCCTCACCCCACAACCCCACCCAACAACCCCACTCCCTACCCCACCCCACCCAACCATCCTTCTTTTGTTCAGCTAATCTAACATTTTCTACATTCGGACATTTTGCAGATGATCGGGTCGAAGTTATCCGTTATCAACAACATTTACTAAATCATTCTCCCCTCCTTTTCCCCTAATAGCTGTAACCGCGCAAACTGCTAAACAGAAGACATTTTGTTTACAGATCGCAAGTTTACTGTTCACCAAACTGGACGTTTATGCCCTGTGTTTGTATAAAGGTGAGTAATGTTTGTTTATAATGCTTTATAAAATAACTGCGAAAATATATTAAACAATTCTGGTTGAATGAGGAAAGGTCAAACAACCCTTCCATCTGTCCATGGTCATATATTGCCTTCCGAATGATATTGCTGGAATATTGCTCACTCATAACTTTAGTTTTACATTTAGACCAGGTCTGCAAGTTAAGATAGTTCTTATTTAGAGACTCCGCTCATGTTTATCATACGCTGTGTTTGAACCGTCCATGTATTATAAAATACCTGCCGCTTTTTTCATTAATCAAAGCTACCGCTAGGCCAGACTCTTAATAAAGAAAATATACAAAGGATAATTCTATGCGATCCTAATTTTTGTGTTTGATATTGGGACTATTTAGATTCACATATTACCAACTATTTAAAGTGTACCGGTATTTAGAGTTTTACAGGACACCGTCGCATGGCAGGAGTTCTGCCATATGAACATACACTTACGTGTTCACGCACATTGTGTGAGTGACGGGTACTACTGGTAGGACTAGGCATACTTTCCATTGTCGCGAACCTAGTGTCATCACTGATACTCGAGACTGGTTGTTCTCTGGCGTCGACGTTTTATATATTTACACAAGTTACCGTGAAATGTCGGTTGATTTTCTTTCCAAATTAGATGTGAATATCAATTTGAAAGGGAAAGACATTTTAAAGCTTTAAGTAGACAACAACGAAGTAAAACAATTTCAATCTACCTTCGTCTGTCTTGACAATTGGATTGTTGTGTACACAGTTAAATGTTTATGTCATCAAAACCTCAAGCATGTTCAGTTATATATAGATCCTTAAGATCACAGTAACGTTTGCCAACTCTCTTAACATCGTGCTGTACCGTTTGTATCAATACAAGACTACCCCGTTGTTCCTTTGCAAACAGTGAAGACGCTACGATAACAAGGATGCACACGGACGACATCATCGAGGCCGTCGGGGGCATGTCCCGCTTCCAGATCCTCATGGTTGTCTTCATATTCGGTCCAAAGATGCTGATGGCGTGGGGGATGTTAATGATGTCGTTTGCGGGGACTACTCCAGATTGGTGGTGTGTCCCAGCTACAGCGGCCTCTGTTGATGAGACCGACTACATGAACAACGTCACATTGAAATTGTGTCCTTCCTCGGACAACATCACCTGTCAGGTTGTGTTCAGCCAGGATAAAAACACTGTCGCCAGCGAGGTAGGTAGCCTTAATTCAGTCCCTTTTAATTGAGTTATTGCAACCATGTAACATCTAAGGTGTGGTAGCGAGCCATAGTATGATGTGGATGCAACCCAGACTTGTATAGCAGGCCATACTATAATATGTACACAACCCAAACTTATGTAACGAGCCATAGTATGATATGGATCCAACCTACACTCGAGTAGAGAGCCACAGTATGATATGGATCCAACCTACACTCGTGTAGCGAGCCACAGTATGATATGGACGCAACCCACAGTCATGAATCGAGCCTCAGTATGATATAGATACAAGCCACAATTACGTAGTGAGCCACAGTATTATATGGACGCAACCCACAGTCATGACGGGAGCCTCGGTATGCTATAGATACAAGCCACACTTACTTAGCGAGCCACAGTGTGATATGGACGCAACCCACAGTCATGAATCGAGCCTCAGTATGATATAGATACAAGCCACACTTACTTAGCGAGCCACAGTGTGATATGGACGCAACCCACAGTCATGAATCGAGCCTCGGTATGATATGGATACAAGCCACACTTACTTAGCGAGCCACAGTGTGATATGGACGCAACCCACAGTCATGAATCGAGCCTCGGTATGATATGGATACAAGCCACACTTACGTAGCGAGCCACAGTGTGATATGGACGTAAGCCACACTCGTGCAGCGAGTCATGGTATGAGATGGATGCAACCCACACTCGTGTAGCGAGCCATAGTATGAAATGGATGCAACCCACACTTGTTTAGCAAGCCATAGTGTGATATGGATGCAACCCACACTCGTGTAGCGAGCCATGGTATTTTATGGATGCAACCCACACTCGTGACGCGAGCCAGGGTATTTTATGGATGCTACCCACACTCGAGTAGCGAGCCATAGTAATATATTGATGCAACCTACACTCGTGTAGCGAGCCATAGTATGATATGGATGCAACCCACACTCGTGTAGCGAGCCACACTATGATATGGATCCAACCCACACCTATGTAGCGAGCCATAGTATGATATGGATGCAACCCACACTCGTGTAGCGAGCCACACTATGATATGGATCCAACCCACACCTATGTAGCGAGCCACACTATGATAAGGATCCAACCTACACTCGTGTAGCGAGCAAAAGTATGATATAAATCCAACCTACACTCGTGTAGCGAGCCACAGTATGATATGGACGCAACCCACAGTCCTGAATCGAGCCTCAGTATGATATAGATACAAGCCACACTTACGTAGCGAGTCACAGTATGATATGGACGCAACCCACAGTCATGAAGGGAGCCTTGGTATGATATAGATACAAGCCACACTTACGTAGCGAGCCACAGTATGATATAGATCCACCCCGCACTCTTGAAGCAAGCCCGGTATAATATCATAGTGTGATATGGACGCAACCCACACTCGTGTAGCGAGCAACAGTATGACATGGATGTTACCCACACGCATAAAGCGAGCCTCGGTAAGATATGGATACAACCCACCCTTACGTAGCGAGCCATAGTATGAAATGGATGTTACCCACACGCATAAAGCGAGCCCCGGTAAGATACGGATACAACCCACACTCGTGTAGCGAGCCATGGTATTTTATGAATGCAACCCACACTCGTGTAGCGAGCCATGGTATTTTATGGATGCAACCCACACTCGTGTAGCGAGCCATAGTATGATATTGATGCAACCTACACTCGTGTAGCGAGCCATAGTATGATATGGATTCAACCCACACTTGTTTAGCGAGCCATAGTATGATATGGATGCAACTCACACTTGTTTAGCGAGCCATAGTATGATATGGATGCAACCCACACTTGTTTAGCGAGCCATAGTATGATATGGATGCAACCCACACTTGTTTAGCGAGCCATAGTATGATATGGATGCAACCCACACTTGTTTAGCGAGCCATAGTATGATATGGATGCAACCCACACTCGTGTAGCGAGCCACGTATTTTATGGATGCAACCCGCACTCGTGTAGCGAGCCACTGAATGATAGGGATGGGAGCAATCCACATTCGTTGAAAGAGCCATAGTTTGATATGGATGCAAACCACATTCGTGTAGCGATCCATAGTATTTTAAGGATGCAACTCACACTCGTGTAGCGAGCCATGGTATTTTATGAATGCAACCCACACTCGTGTAGCGAGCCATGGTATTTTATGGATGCAACCCACACTCGTGTAGCGAGCCATAGTATGATATTGATGCAACCTACACTCGTGTAGCGAGCCATAGTATGATATGGATTCAACCCACACTTGTTTAGCGAGCCATAGTATGATATGGATGCAACTCACACTTGTTTAGCGAGCCATAGTATGATATGGATGCAACCCACACTTGTTTAGCGAGCCATAGTATGATATGGATTCAACCCACACTTGTTTAGCGAGCCATAGTATGATATGGATGCAACCCACACTCGTGTAGCGAGCCACGTATTTTATGGATGCAACCCGCACTCGTGTAGCGAGCCACTGAATGATAGGGATGGGAGCAATCCACATTCGTTGAAAGAGCCATAGTTTGATATGGATGCAAACCACATTCGTGTAGCGATCCATAGTATTTTAAGGATGCAACCCACACTCGTGTAGCGAGCGACAGTATGCTATGGATGCAACCCACACTCGTGTAGCGAGCCACTGAATGATAGGGATGGGAGCAGCCCACATCCGTGTGGCGAGGGAGAAACCTTTGAACACTGCATCTCAGTATTCACTTCCTGACATTACCATCGAAAAATGCGTTGGGTCATCGGGAGAAACGAGAAACTGTTACTAAGAGACTCTAGTGCAGAGATGAAGTACTTAGTATTTATGTCTTGTTGATCATACAGGAATAGAAACAGGGTACCCTATTCCAGTGTGATAACACAGTACATATTGTATATAACTCATCGTGTTACCCAGTGAAATATTTGTAGATGGTCTTGATCGACGTGTTCGACTTCGATCACAACAGGCAGTGTTTGCATCCAAGGCACTTGGGGGATATACACGACATGTGTAACCTAATGGTCAATTGTTCGCTCTGACGTCATTAATGGCATACTAATAATCTTTGCGTCATTGAGTATCATTCCAAAAATGCTTGTTTTTTTGTCTGATATAACTCTCGTCTTTTGAGCTGGCCGTCAAATCAGGCGTGCAGCCGCCTATACCAATAAAGCGACAAAACCCTTTCCATATGCAATAGATATATCTGAATAAAGCAAAGGAATTGTAGAATTCCGTTCATATCGTGAACGTGTGTTTATGAATCACAATCAAATAGTGATAATACCAGGTGATCGCGAAAAGGCGAGGGTTTCCTTCCCCACTGTTGGCACCTGTTACAAACACATGCAAAGGAAAGTCAATTGTTCACCTGAAAAAAACATGGTAAAATATGGTACAAGTCTAAATAGGGAATTGCACTGGACATCATTGTTGGCACTGATGCGTGAAATTTGGAAACGTTGTCCGCATGCCTACCATAAAACTTGTGTTGTAACCATGATTAAAGAACTTCTGAGCAAGAGTCGTGTGAGCTCTTTGAAATCTTGGTCGAAAAAGCATGCTCGATGGTATCTCAAAAGTTGCGAAATGTGTACACCAAAGGCTTGAGCTGCTGGATTATTGCTCGACATGAAGGGAAAGTTGACTATTGGTAAGTTGAAGTCATCCCTCTTGTCACACGCTTGTGGAGAGTGTTGTGTCACAATGTATCTTTGTGCATAGATCTACATATGAAACACACGAGGCTGTCTCACTGGTTTCCTTTACTTCTAATTCAGACGTGTAAATCAGTGGTGAGTGAGTGAGTGAGTTAAGATTTAACGTCACATCGGCAGTATTTCAGCCATATCGTGACGAGAAGTACATTAATAATACATAAATGCATACAACATAAAAAGCTGTCAACGATGGACAGTAAAATTACTAGAATATCACAGATTAATATTTAAAACTAGCATACAACTATAAAAGATATCACTATATATAACGGTACAATATAAAAAAGGGCTATAGATCGCCAGCAGCTGAAGGTAGATCACCATGCTAGGGTCCATGGGGACTTACAGTACTTTTGCTACCTGCATGGACCCCAGCCGGATTTACATCATCCCTTCCGCTGTTGGCGATTAATGACAAATCTAGCCAGAATAAATGAACATATATACTACGTCTAAAAACGAGCAGAAATAAACATACTTTGAAAGACGTGGTCTTACATACCCTCTCAGGGGGACAATAATTTTACACTACTTTAACCCCCTTCGAGGATATAGCCACTAACAATCCCAGTTACTGAATAATTCTACCAATTATAAAAGTTATTTATTTAATTACAAACTATAACAATCAAAATTTATGCAGTAATTCGATTTCCTTTAAAAAACCAATAATTAAATGACTACTTACCTGATAAAAAAGATCCTTGATACATGATACCTTGAAATATTTATCCCTTGTGATGGAAAAATCAATGCAGTCAAGCAGGACATGCTTGACCGTGATTCTTTCATCACAAGGGACGCAGAATGGAGGATCTTCACCTTTTAAAATATATTCATGAGTATAACGTGAATGGCCAATACGACATCGTCTTAAAATGACCTCTTCAAATCTGGACTGACAACCCAAGTAGGTATAACCGATATTCGCTTTTGTTGCATGTAATTTATTTATACCAACTTGGGTGTCCCACTTCTTCTGCATTAGATCTCGGATGTAAGATCTAATGACAGGTTTATAATCACTGTATGGTAAAAGAAGTGGTGTCACAGATTTGTTGAGTGCTGCTTTTGCGGCAGCATCAGCCAGTGTGTTACCAACAATCCCAACATGGCTTGGTAACCAACAAAAAACGATGTCATATTGGCCAGTCGCAAGATCATTAAATAACTCAAGAATTTCAATTAAAAATGGATGTTTACATGACATATTTTTAATAGCCTGAAGGCACGAAAGTGAATCTGAAAAAA